TCTTTTTTCATTCATTTCTTCCTTTCTTTTTTTTCTTTCTTTCTTGTCTTTTTCATTCATTTTTTATCTTTTTTTTTTATTTATTTGTTTTTTTCATTCATTTCTTTTTTTTTTTTTCTTTATTTCTTACCTTTTCATTCATTTCTTTCTTTATCTATTTGCTTTATATCTTTGTTTTTTTTTTTTCTTTTTTTTTTTTTTTTTTTTTTTTTCTTTATTTCTTTCTTTTTTTCATTAATTTCTTCCTTATCTATTTCTTTATTTCTTGTCATTTTTTCATTTCTTTCTTTCCTTATCTTTTTTTCTTTCATTTCTTTTCTTTTCATTTATTTCTTTCTTATCTTTTTTTTATTTCTTTCTTTTTCATACATTTCTTCTTTATGTTTTTTCTTTATTTCTTGTATTTTCATTCAATTCTTCCTTATCTTTTTCTTTATTTCTTGTCTTTTTCATTCATTTCTTTTTATCTTTTTTCTTTATTTCTTGGCTTTTTCATTCATTTCTTCCTTGTCATATATTTTTCATTCAATTCTTCTTCATTTTTATCTTTATTTCTTGTCTTTTTCATTCATTACTTCTTTATCTTTTTTCTTTATTTCTTGTCTTTTTCATTCATTTCTTTCCTTTCTTTTTTTCTTTTATTTTTTTGTTTTTTCATTCTTTTCTTCTTTGTCTTTTTTTCATTATTTCTTGTCTTTTTCATTCTTTTTTCTTTTTATCTTTTTTTTCTTTATTTCTCGTCTTTTTCATTCATTTCATACTTATCTTTTTTCTTTCTTTTTTGTTTTTTTCATTCATTTCTTTTTTTCTTTCTTTTCTTTTATTTTCTTGTCGTTTTCATTCCATTCTTTTTTTATTTTTATCTTTATTTCTTGTCTTTTTCATTCATTTCTTTTTTATATTTTTTTTTTTTCTTTCTTTTTTTTCATTTTTTTTTTATATTTATCGTTATTTCTTGGCTTTTTCTTTTCATTGCTTCTTTATTTTTTTTCATTCTTTTTTCACATTTTCATTCATTTTTTTCTTTATTTTTTTCTTTCTTTTCTGGTCTTTTTTCATTCATTTCTTCCTTATCTTTTTTACTTTCTTTCTTGTCTTTTTCATTCATTTCTTTTTTTTCTTTTTCTTTTATTTCTTTATTTTTCATTCATTTCTTCTTTATTTTTTTTCTTTATTTCTTGTCTTTTTTCGTTCATTTTTCTTCTTCTTTTCTTTTTTTCTTTATTTCTTGTCTTTTCATTCATTTCTTCCTTTATCTTCTTTCTTTATTTTTTTGTTTTTTCATTCATTTCTTCCTTGTCTTTTTTTTCTTTATTTCTTGTCTTTTTCATTCATTTCTTCTTTATTTTTTTTCTTTATTTCTTTCTTTTTTCATTTTCTTTTTTTCCTTATCTTTTTCTTTATTTCTTGTCTTTTCATTCATTACTTTTTTTTATCTTTTTTTTTTATTTCTTGTCTTTTTCATTCATTTCTTCCTTATCTTTTTTTTTTTTTATTTTTTGTCTTTTTTTTCATTCATTTTCTTCCTTGTTTTTTTTCTTTTATTTCTTGTCTTTTTTCATTCATTTCTTCTTTTTCTTTTTTTCTTTATTTCTTGTCATTTTTTCGTTCTTTCTTCTTCATCTTTTTTTTCTTTATTTCTTGTCTTTTTTCATTCATTTCTTCCTTTCTTTTTTTTCTTTATTTTTTTCTTTTCTTTTTCATTTCTTCCTTGTCTTTTTCTTTATTTCTTGTCTTTTTCATTCATTACTTTTTTTTCTTTTTTTCTTTATTTCTTGTCATTTTTTCATTCTTTTTTTCTTTATCTTTTTTTTTCTTTTTTTTCTTTTTTCATTCATTTCTTTCCTTATCTTTTTTTTTTTTTATTTCTTGTCTTTTTCATTCATTCTTTTTTTCTTTTTCTTCATTCTTTGTCTTTTCATTTATTTCTTCCTCATCTTTTTTTTATTTCTTGTCTTTTTCATACATTTCTTCTTTATGTTTTTTCTTTATTTCTTGTATTTTCATTCAATTCTTCCTTATCTTTTTCTTTATTTCTTGTCTTTTTCATTCATTTCTTTTTATCTTTTTTCTTTATTTCTTGGCTTTTTCATTCATTTCTTCCTTGTCTTTATCTTTATTTCATATATTTTTCATTCAATTCTTCTTCATTTTTATCTTTTATTTCTTTGTCTTTTCATCTTTTTTTTCCTTATATTTTTTCTTTATTTCTTTGTTTTTTTTTTTATTTCTTTCTTTTCTTTCTTTTTCTTCTTTATTTTTTTTTTTTTTGTATTTTCATTCAATTCTTCCTTATCTTTTTTTCTTTTCTTTCTTTGTTTTTTTCATTCATTTCTTCTTTTCTTTTTTTCTTTATTTCTTCTTTTCATTCATTTCTTTCTTGATCTTTTTCTTTTTATTTCTTGTCATTTTTCATTTTTTTTTTATTTATGCTTTTGTCTTTATTTCTTCTTTTTTCATTAATTTCTTCCTTATCTATTTTCTTTATTTCTTGTCTTTTTCATGCATTTCTTTTTCATCTTTTTCTATATTTCTTGTCTTTTTCATTCATTTCTTCTTTATCTTTTTTCTTTATTTCTCACCTTTTCATTCATTTCTTCTTTATATTTTTTTTTCTTTCTGGTCTTTTTCTTTTCATTCTTTCTTCCTTATCTTTTTTTCTTTTTTCTTGTCTTTTTTCACTTTTCTTTTTATCTTTTTTTCTTTATTTTCATTTTTTCATTCATTTCTTCTTTTATATTTTTCCTTCATTTCTTGTCTTTTTCATTCATTTTTTTCTTTTCTTTTTTTTCTTTATTTCTTGTCTTTTTTAATCATTTCTTCCTTTCTTTTTTTCTTTATTTTTTTGTCTTTTTTCATTCATTTCTTCTTTGTCTTTTTTTCTTTATTTCTTGTCTTTTCATTCATTTCTTTCTTTTCTTTCTTTTTTTTCTTTATTTCTTGTCTTTTCATTCATTTTCTTTACTTATTTTTTTTCTTTTATTTTTTTGTCATTTTTTCATTCATTTCTTCTTTGTCTTTTTTTTCTTTATTTCTTGTCTTTTTCATTCAATTCTTCTTTCTTTTTTTATCTTTATTTCTTGTCTTTTTCATTCATTTCTTCCTTTTATTTTTTTTCTTTGTTTCTTGTCTTTTTGATTAATTTCTTCTTTATTTTTTTTATTTTTTTCTTTCTTTTCATTTCTTCTTTATATTTTTTTCTTTTTTTTTTTTCATTTTCTTTTTTCTTTTTTCTTTTCTTGTCTTTCTTTTTTCATTCATTTCTTTTTTTTATCTTTTCTTTTTTTCTTGTCTTTTTTTCATTCATTTCTTTTTTATCTTTTTCTTTATTTCTTACCTTTTCATTCATTTCTTCTTTATATTTTTCCTTCATTTCTTGTCTTTTTCATTCATTTCTTCTTTGTCTTTTTTCTTTATTTCTTGTCTTTTTCAATCATTTCTTCCTCATCTTTTTCTTTATTTCATATATTTTTCATTCAATTCTTCTTCATTTTTATCTTTATTTCTTGTCTTTTTCATTCATTTTTTCCTTATATTTATCTTCATTTCTTGTCTTTTTCATTCATTTCTTCCTTATCTTTTTTTTTATTTCTTGTCTTTTTCATTCATTCCTTCTTTATCTTTTTTCTTTATTTCTTGTCTTTTTCATTCTTTTTCTTCCTTATCTTTTTTCTTTATTTTTTGTCTTTTCATTCATTCTTTCTTTTTTTATCTTTTTTTTTTTATTTCTTGGCTTTTTTCTTTTCATTTCTTTCTTTATCTTTTTCTTTATTTTTTTTTTTTTTTTCATTCATTTCTTCTTTGTCTTTTTTCTTTATTTCTTGTCTTTTTCATTCATTTTCCTTTTATTTTTCTTTATTTCTTATCTTTTTCAATCATTTCTTCCTCATCTTTTTTCGTTATTTCTTGTCTTTTTCATTCATTTTTTCTTTATCTTTTTTTCTTTACTTCTTCTTTTTTTCATTAATTTCTTCCTTATCTATTTTCTTTTTTTCTTGTCTTTTTCATTAATTTCTTCTTTATCTTTTTCATTCATTTCTTCTTTGTCTTTTTTCTTTATTTCTTGTCTTTTTCAATCATTTCTTCCTTATCTATTTGCTTTATTTCTTGTCTTTTTCATTCATTTCTTCTTTATCTATTTTCTTTATTTCTTGTCTTTTTCATTCATTTCTTCTTTGTCTTTTTTCTTTATTTCTTTTCTTTTTTATTCATTTCTTCCTCATCTTTTTCTTTATTTCATATATTTTTCATTCATTTCTTCTTTATATTTTTCTTTATTTCATTTTTTCTTTTCATTCATTTTCTTCCTTATCTTTTTTTTTTATTTCTTGTCTTTTTTCATTCATTTCTTCTTTGTCTTTTTTCTTTATTTCTTGTCTTTTTCATTCATTTTTCTTTTATCTTTTTTCCTTATTTCTTGTCTGTTTCATTCATTTCTCTCTAATCTTTTTTTCTTTATTTCTTCTCTTTTTCATTCATTTCTTCGTTATCTTTTCATTCATTTTTCTTGATCTATTTCTGCTTTATTTTTTCATTTATTTCTTCATCATCTTTTTCATTCATTTCTTCTTCATCTCTTTCTTCCTCTTTTTCATTCATTTCTTCCATATTTTTTTCATTCCTTTATTTCACATTTTTTCATACATTTCTTTCGCGTGTTTTTTATTCATTTTTTCCTTGTCTTTTTGCCTTGTATTCATGATGGCGATATGGATACTTCGTTTTAGAATGAGAAAAATTGATCTTGAATTTGTATCTTTTTTTCTTTTCATTCGAAATCTCTGAAAAATGCAAATTCATCATCAGAAAAAAAATGTTTATTCTTACAAAAGAGATTAACAAAATCAGCGGTTCTCATTTTCTTCTTTTTTTTTCTTTTATTGCTGCTGTCAACTGAAATGCCCACGTCTAAAGTTAGCTATTATTTATTTTATATATGCATTAAATCCTGCCGAGTAGAAGAATATTTAAGTCAAGCGGTCCACTAAATAAACACATACTCACTCGGACCTACTAAAAAGGTAGATAGATAGATAGATAGATAGATAGATAGATAGATAGATAGATAACCTAACAACATTTCTATCAACAACAATAAACTTTTAACTAGTAAGCAGCTAACTGCATTCTGTTTGAGTCACGAGTCAAGTGCACAGGCACCACGTGACTCTACCACGTGACTGTCGTACGCAGTTAAGAACTCAAACTATGAGGAATGAATAAATATTTGTACTGATAAGTTACCCCACTGACACAATGCCTCTGTCTTTAGATGCCTCTCTTTGTATTTCTTTTAAAAACAAACAAAAAAATACCTACGGTTATTTATCTTCTCTTCGAAATTGTCTTATTTCGAGTCATATTGCAGGTAATCCATCAATTTTCCGGCACTGTTGATTCCAGAAATATTCCCATTAATAATTACTGGATCAACAGAGGTCATGCCTTAATAATTCAATCATATCAATGCAATAATTATGAACATCTCATCATTTCAACTCATTAGGACTTTAACAGTTATTTCTCATATTAAAGTATTTGATAAATATCTATATAAGTTTGTCAGAATTTGCCATATCGAACAGGCACTTCGTAAGAACCGAATGATATTTAACCTTCATGGAGCGCAGCATTCCTTGGTTTGTGGGTTATATAAGAGATGCTACAGTTTGATGATAAGTACGCTGAATAGACATTATTTTTACACAGCATTTCAACTGTAGAATAAGCTGAATAGCTGTTCACAATAAGATGGATTTTGTCACCTACACGTAATGCTGATAATATTTCTATGGCTTTAAAAGCAGCCGAGCCATCACAAAAAAAATCGGGGAATGTCTATCTGTATTTTGACTATTATTAGATGAATTCACTATTAGATGAATTTTGATTTTATTATTAAATGAAGCCATTCCAATAATTCATTTTCACTTGTATTTCCTTTGTTTTATTTCTGCTGCTTTTTCTCCCACTATTCAGATTGTTATCCACCGATCGTTTCCAAACGACTCAGATCAGAGATAATAAAAAAAAAGCCTTTAGTACAATTCGAACTCACATATCTTTCGCTCAGGAAACTGGTAAATGTAGAAATAGCAATAAAAATTAATACTTATAGTCCAGTTATTATAGGTTTCAATATCTCTCAAGCTTCAAATGAAAGCATTTTATTTCTGGATAAAAAAAGAAATGTCTTTACATTTAGTATTGATTCAAATATCATTGAAATAGGTTTCGATGGAAGTAACGATTTATTTATAGAATAGGTTGTTTTCTTGATTTTCAAATGCGCGTTATTGAAAATGAATCTTCAAGAAATAAAAATCCTTTAGCATCAATTGTTAAAAATTTAGACCGACAACTATAAATGGAGAGTAAGTCTTTCGGAGCCATTTAACTTTGTAAATATTCCTGTCCAATAAAAATTGGTTATGCGATATTGGAGTTAATATTATTGGATCGAATTAAACATTACGCAGGATTTGGCCAAGTCTTTCGATATAAATACTTAGTATAAATTAAAATATACACTGGATGATTTTGTGTCATCTTAATTTTACGTGGTAGGAATTTCGCATGCCCTAAATGACGTATATAATTGTACTCATAACTTAAAGCTGTTCGCAACATACACAACAAATACTGCTTGACTTGGACTGATTCAGAGATGAATGATATAGCGGTGACCAACCAAAAGGTCACTTTTGTTTATTTGTTGTTGTTTTTTGTTTTGTTTTTAGGTGGGGAGAAGGGGGGATGATATACCAATCAAATGTCTTGGTGGTCTAAGTAACCAAAGTAGATTATTATAAATATAATTGATATCTTTTGGTTTTGCAAGATTTGACTGAAAGAATGGACACCTCGATTAAATGCTAAAACAGTTAACACCTACTGTCTTCTTAATCTGATTATTATTGCGTGTAGAAGTTCCCAGCATTTTGGTGACTGAATACACAACTGAAAACCTCGTCTTTTTGCTTTAAATTTTCCCCACGCCGTGCAGGTATATTTTTTTCTTTAGAACATCATTTTCATAAAGTAAAATGCAAGAAAGATTACATTTTTTTAAACTTTCACACAGTTTTGACGCAAATCTTTCCAAATATTGTTATTGTTCTCTCTTTTTAATAATGTTTTTCTATTCCCTAACACTCAGTAACCCCTTGCATCTTAGTGGCTTCATTGCCTTTCAGACTCAACAATGTTCTGTCTATTTATGCTTCGCGTTTATATAATTTCTGATTTTATGAATTTTTAAAACTCAAAGTCACGTTTAGATTTGTTTTATTTTTTTTTTCTCCACTGCGTTGTGCCCTGAACTAGAGAAACTAAAATAACAAGAGACGATCGTCTTTAACTTCTTCTCTTGGCTCGTGAATTACATAACAATAAATCAATGTTTCTTTTTTCATTTGTAATTTGCTTTTCCTTTATGAGCGTTGTGTGACGTAAGATGCTTTATAGAATAACGGACGATGTTATTTAGAGGCTTGGGAACAAGTCAATGAGAGATAATGGGAGGGGAAGAGAAAGGAAAGAAGGTGATAAACAGAAAGAAAGAGACGAAAGAAAACGAGAAAGAAAAAGGAAGAAAATTAAAAAAAGAAATGGAAGAAAGGGGTAAAAAGAAAGTAAAAGAATGGAGAAGATGCGGGGGATGAAAGAAGGGAAATGAAAAAGTCTGGAGAAGGAATCGGCGGGAAAAAAGGAAGTTCTAATGGAGTCGGGAATACTTTAAGAAAACAAGTTGAGACGTGGCTAAAATGAAGAGGAATAAGGTTATTTAATTAAAGTTAGCATAACTTCAGCAACAATAGTAGAGTAATAACATTTACTAACCAATACATGCATAAGAAAGAAGTATCATTTTTGTAATTTAGATTTTATTTATATTATAAATATTTAAAGATCCTGTTTGAATCTGACCTAATTGTATATTTCCCAACTGCGTTATGATTTACGCTCAAAGGCAAAGTAAAAACCAGGTTTTTAATGCTAACTGTCTAGGCCTTCCCCACTTGTATTTTCCCCTTGCAACACTCCCTACGTCTGGCCGATGCGTTATACAATACTAAAGTTAATTACAATCAAGGACATAACAGCTTCGATTTTAGAACTAATTAGAATTCATTTAGAAGCCAATCCTGTCTCTTGAATGAATTCCAGTCAAAAAATATTCATTCGTTTTTTCCTAATTTACAAAGATGTCTTTTCTACTTCGACCTTCTGACGTCCTGAAACAACAATAAACTTTCTGTGGCCATGATATTTAGCCGTGAACCAAAATATCCAAGCTACCTGATATTAACACGATATTTTCATAAATATTCATTTTCTCACTGGCATTATTTAGAAATCGTTTTACTTTCTTGACTAAGGCTTTATAGGTGGAGCATTTAATGAGAATTGACACTATTAGTAATCTATTAGGCTAGTTGGCTAACCATTACGGGATGGCGTTGCAACCATATCAAAAGACCCGAATGTAAATATTGTAATTAATTCAGATTATTTTATTTATTTTTGTTCATTTTTTAATCACGACGTTTTACATATGCTCTCAGACCATCATCAAGCTGACCATTCCAATAAAGCAACAAATACCTAAGGAAAACGGAATAATATAGAGAAAATTATAGTTTTATGAAATTAGCCTAAATTTTAAACTTTTTGTCCTTTCATCACGGTGTGGTCAACAAAACACAGTTGATTTTGTCTGAGATTTTGAGTGTCAATAGCCAGGTTTTTTTTTCTTTGGATTATTCTCATTTATTCCATATTTATGGACGCATATTGCGTTGCAGCTCAGACCAGACACCAGGTTTGTTGACAGGGTGCAGTTTCTTGCAATCAAACGCTTCTGGCTTAAAAATTTCCCATCAACCAGATCGTTAACCACGAGTGAAGAACAAAACAATTTATAACAGTAAAACAGATTTTATTCTTGTGTCGTAACCTACTGCTATATACTAACGAAAAATGGGATGAGGCGTAAGTGAGGGTGTACACAGTTCAGCGGCCATTTTCCCTATCCATTCTGCGAGGCCCACTTCATTCTTTCTGTTTGCCTTTTCGCGAGATGGTCAGTTTTATTGGCAACAATTCTCTTTGTCTTGTCATCTTCGTCGAAAAAAGTAATTAATCTTCCTTCCGTGATTTTCTCTCAGTCTGAGCCTCTTGCTCTATACTTTGAAGTTGACTTACTGATAAGCATCGGCCGAAAGCAAATGTTCCGCATCGTGTTGTGCGACAGGTCCCGCTGTTTTTCAATTTAACAAGACCTCAACTGATTCATATTGCTACACACATCTACGAAAATAAAGAAGATGAAAACCGAACCCCAAAAATCGACTGATAGAGTATTATGAACAGAAATGGGAAACACTCGTGTGTATAAATTGGAATTAACCTGGTTACATGGATAGCGGTGGATCGTCTGTGGTTCGCGTTGTTGGAATGGACTCATACGATTAGCGAGCATTTTTTTGCTTGTCATCTTGTTCCATACAAAGAGAAGGTTGAACGTAAAGTTCTACTGAAATGGAGGAATTCGATTCGAATATTTTTTTGCTTTCCTCCTACAGTAGATTGTTTGGAGAAAATATTCAACCTGTTTTGTATATAGTGATTTTCTAAGAGTGGCTTAGATGTGGCCAAAAGTATGGGGCACCCAGTGACGATCGAACTCACTACTCAGTCATCATTGCTTTAGCGAGACAAGCTTGAAAAAGTATTACACCACGTCGTGGTGCCTGGCCTGTTTTGTATATATGTTGCGTTACCATGTGATTAAGTGAGGCGGGTCAAACAGGGTCGAATGTTCAGAAGGCAAATTATAGGGCTGAGAAAAAAAAAGGATTTAGATTAAAATACATGTTGGGAAACCGTGGATGGAACCAACTTCGCTGGAAAAATTAAGCAAACACGATGTATAAAATAAAGTCGAAAAAGACTCCTCATTTTTATAAGACGAAAAGATACTGGTATGAAAAGTAGGAAGGCGAAATGAGTTTCAGGTTCCATTTTGAGTAGACAGGGTTTTCACACTGCTTTCCCGCTCTCTGTGATTATCCACTCGAATAAACAGCGTTTCTTCTTCTTTCTCTTTTCAGTCTTAAATGTGACTTCCCATTGATCAGACATCAAGACAGTCCCCAGCACTATAGTTGTAGGCAAAAGCCTTCTTATATATATATATATATATATATATATATATATATATATATATATATATATATATATACTGACTCTCCCGTCGAAATTTGACGTATGAGGGTCAAGCAGATCAGTTCTAGGAAACCGACAGCCCGACAACAGCACATGAGATTTGATTATAGTGGTGAAGGTTTCGTGCAGGACCATCCACACTCCGATTCCTCAATTCAAGCCGCTATCCATTACTCCACCGTGCCTCCTTATATATATATATATATATATATATATATATATATATATATATATATATATATATATAAAAAAATTAAAAAAAAAAACTTAAAAGATACATTTCGGTTATAATTTATTTTGAATATTTTTATATTCATCTCTTTTTAAGAACTTTCGGTCTAAAGAGATAAAAATAAAAATATTCACGAAATAAATTATAAACGAAATGAATCTTTAAGGTTTTTTCTTGATTTATTATTATAATGCTCTGTAATCTAAATTTCCATTGAGCCTCTCTTTGGATTAATATCCTCCTTGGAATTATCCCTACCAGTCACAAATTGGTATATATATATATATATATATATATATATAATAAATTTTATTGCGCTTATTATGTATTGTTAAAATTATTTTCATTTATATGGGGTAACTTTTTTCAAGAGAATTTGTGCTATTATCGTCACTGACATTTTGAGTAAATTATATTTTTTGATAAAAGAAATGACAATATGATTAGCTTAGTAAATAGATTTAAGTAAGTTAAAGATAAAGGACAATAATGACCATCACCCCCCAACGACGATCAAATTATCTGGCCTTGTGCCATATTTCTGACTAAAATTTTTATATAAGGATAAATACTAAAAGTGACTTCTCTCTTTCCTTACGGATTGTATACCTAAAGAAGGCTATAGAATGCTTAAAACCGAAATTTGTGAGAACAACATGAGCAGCACAAAAAATGAGTCCAATTATAGAAAGCTCAGATATTAGTCTTGTGCTTTTCATCACTTTATGGCTTAACTTCTAAGAATAAACGTTAAAGGAAACAAAAAGATATTAAAAAAAAAAATGCCAAAAAGTTTGCAATGATAATGATCGAGGTAAGAGAATAACAAAGAAAGTTGAGGAAATGTCATATGAAAGAAAGAAAAATGAATGGCTAAGTAGAAGTTGAAAGAGAATAGAAAGAAAAACTGAACGAACGAATTTAAAGCCATAAATGCTAAAGTGTTTGACGTCACAAGCGACACGAAAAAGAGTGGTTTTGTTTTTTACCTGTCAATACCATTTTGTTTTGCCTTTTACACTTTCTTTTAACTTGTCGGTCACCTTGTGTCCTACAAATAAGTGAAGAACAGCCATGACTATGGTTATATGTTTGTATTTTAACTATTTGCCGTTTTGGTTTAGATAACTCAGTGACTGGTTATCTTTTATTTTAACTGCAATTATTGGGGTTTAATGATGAGTAAGCAGGTTTGGCAGATCATTACACGAAGGTTCGATCTTCATTGATTGCACTATACTTCTGACTCGTGCTAAAATTTAATAAATTACTAAAATAAACTGATGGAATATTTCAGAACAGAAGTAAATGCAGTAAAAATGTCATTTACATAGAAAAACAAAAATATTTTATTATTCAAGAAACTTTTTTTATTAATATATATATATATATATATATATATATATTTAAATATTTAAAAATAATAAATCAAGCTAAAAGTTAAATGAGGCTAAACTGAAGAAGATTTTTATTTTCAAGTTCATGTTTGAGATTTACGAAGATTTCAGCATGCAGAACTGGCGGTAGTACCTGCAATCTTTGGGACACAGAAAGCAGCCTGTAAAAGATTATTATAAAGAGATTAGAATAATTAAAGATTCTGAAAATAAATAAGACGATTTCATTAAGAGCATGTGTTGAAATTCTCAAGAATACTGAGGAGGAAAATGTAGACGATTGTAAAAGACTTGCTACCATTTGAACCTAAACGACAACCACTAGAAACATTATGTGTAAAGATAATAATTATTATTATCGTTATTATTAATTAAGGAAGGTGTTGGAATTTAATTTGAGAACAATATTTTACAAGTTCACATTCTCGCTATTTTTCCTGTCCTCACTCCAACCTCTTTTTAATTTCAAAACCGCCTCCCAAGGCCTTGATTCTTATCAGAGAAATATTTTGAGGAAAATGCAGGGAAATTTGTCCCGGCTTTCCCGCATCAAAGGGTTGAGGTTTACAAAAATTGCGACAAAACGCGAGTAAAAAACAGCAAGATTAGAGCGGACAAACTGTCTCTTTTAGGCGCGTACGAATAAAGAAAAAACTCCTGTTAGGTGTGTAAGAATAAAAGAAGAAAGGTTTATTTACATATACAGAAAAAAAGGGTAAAAAGGGATAAAAGGACAATTAGGAAAGAAAGAAAGGGAAAAGAGAAAATGTCCTTTAAGGGAAAAGAAAATGTTCATCTCAGAAAAAGGCTTGCTCAAAATATTTCTCTTAGCGCCTAAAAAGTTCTTTAAGCGAGTAGAATTTTGTTAAGGTTTAGATAGAAACACTCACAATTCTTGTAGAGTAGGGAAATTATTGGTAGATATAGGAATCTAGCAGTTGAGTGAGTTCGTAGGTCGACGACAGAAATCCAGTGGGTTCGTCAGAATGAGTGGTGAAGGGATGCAACTTACTTTGAATTGGTCTTGAATTGTGGACCGACGTTCGTTCTTGACAGTCCTTTAGTAGGTAGGTCTTCTTTGGTTGAAAGTGGTTCTGAAGTTGACTGGAGTTCCTTATCGTCGACCTCACAGACGGTGGGCTGAAGTCTCACTGCCAAATTGGCAAAGATTCTTCAAATTTATGGAGATTTTGTAGGCTCCGATGGATCGGGGACTTTTCCCTCCAAAATCGTTGTACAAATTTCCTGGCTTCTCTATTGGTCAGAAAACACATTCTTATCTCTGATAAGAATCAGGGCCCTGGGAGCCGGTTTTGAAGGTAATGAAAACAGGTTGGAGTGAAGAAGCTGTGAGGTTTCCCTCAGACTTTATGGCACCATGGAAAGAATAATGATTGTGGAATTCCTTTTTATATTTTCCAACTCTCTTGTTAGTCACAAAATATATTCTTATCTCTGATAAGAATCAAGGCTTTGGGAGCCGGTTTTGAAAGTAATAAAAGGTTGGAGTGAGGATAGAAAAATAACGAGAATGTGAACTTGTCAAATTAAATGCCAACAAAAGAAAGAAAGAAAGAAAGAAAGAAAGAAAGAAAGAAAGAAAGAAAGAAAGAGGGCAAGTGGCTGAGTGGTTAAATATTAGCCTCTAGGCTATGAAATCAGGTTTCGACTCTCACTATAATCGATTTGTAAATAATCGACATGGAGTGTTGATCCCAACATGCGGCCCTGTCAGGAAGTGACGTGGGGTTGATCTAAGCCTCAGTTCAGAAACCGAGGGTTTGAACAATTGGTTTTGTTTACTTTCCTGGCTACGCGCCAGATTAGACTCTCCTCCAGAAATTGTAACTAAGGTCTGCTCAGCATAAATGCTTATATACACCACAGACAGGCTTTGTGAGTGTTAAAGAAACTCAAATGTACCTGAGCAGGCATCTGAGATTAACTTGCCACACTAGTTGCCGAATGTACTCGAAAAACTAGCAACCTGATAGATAGATAGATAGATAGATAGATAGATAGATAGATAGATAGATAGATAGATAGGTGGAAAATGTCCTTAAAAAGTGCTTCCGAATAGCAAAAATAAACAGATTTGTTAAAACGATTAAATAAAAAAAAAACTGAAATAAAATCTTTTCATGCCTTTATATAGTAAATCTTCATTTCAAATGAGCTCTCATTTCAAATGAGCCCTCATTTCAATTGAGCCCTCATTTCAATTGAGCTCTCATTTCAAATGAGCTCTCATTTCAAATGAGCTCTCATTTCAACTGAGCCCTCATTTCAAATGAGCCCTCATTTCAAATGAGCCCTCATTTCAAATGAGCTCTCATTTCAAATGAGCCCTCATTTCAATTGAGCTCGTATTTCAAATGAGACATCGTCTTTATGCGGCTGATAAAAGTTTTAAAATGAACTGAAAATAATAATCTTTTAAAACGAAGCTTTTTGCCACAGATAACCTCATTCAACAACGATCTATTCATTTCAACTGAACTATTAACAAAATAAAAACTCTCATTTGATTGTAACTTGCTATTCGCCAGTCAGGATTAACCTTGTGATAGCCTGTATGAGAAAGTATTTTTTTAATAGTGACAAACATATCCTCTGTAACTGTTTTGGGGTCGCAATATTACTCAAGTTTTACTGAGTCAATTGTTCAAGCTTTCAGGTTAAAAATCAAAAGAAAACAAAAGAACAGATTATAAATGCTGCCTTAAAAGGCAGACAAGCTCTACGAAGCCAACTGAAACTTGCTGAAACACAGTCTCTCATCCTGGCTTCTCCTATTTCCTTTTGGGCTAAATTAAGGAGAGTAAAAAGAAATTCTAACCTGTCTTTTGTAGTTCGAACGTTATGAAACGCCGAAGTTGATAAAATCTTTTCTGCAACGCGCGACATATAAAACTTAGCAAATTTCAGTTTATGGGAATTATGAAGCATTTGGTCAATTAAATCAAAATTGGCATGATTTGTCTCTAGAATAAAGTGTCATCCACTGAAATTTCCTTAAAATCTAACATGGTGGTCAGAAAGGCTTTAAAAACATTCCCCAGAGATGAATAAGGGACTTGAAGTAACAGAAATGTGGTTCTACAGAAGGATACTGAGGATACCATGAACTGAACATGATAATGTTTTAGAGAAAATGGAAACAAAAAGAACACCTAGACTTGACATCAGAAAGAGACAATTGACATTTCTAGGGTGCATAATGAGGAAAGAGGGCTTAGAAAATTTGACACTCACAGTACATACTGAATGCAAGAGCGACAGGGGAAAATAGCACATAATCCCTGCCTAACGAGCTTGTGTAAATAGTAATAATAGGAGAAATAAGAAAAAGGGACAAGAAACTATGAAGAGCCATGATCGTCTACGTCCTGAAGGGACACGGTCCAAAGAAGAAGAAGAAGAAGAAGAAGAAGCGATGATATGGAAGGATCTGAAGTATTGGGATAACTTCTTGTATGAATTGAATTCTTATTTTTCTTTACTGTGCGAACAAAAATGTTCTTTTGTCCGTTTTAATGATGAATGATAGAATGAAATATGTGTGTTTATGAGAGAGAATGAGAGAGAAAAGGGGTGAGAATGAGAGAGAAAAAGGGGAGAAAGAGAGAGGATAGGAGACAGAAAGGGGAGATATAGAGACAATGAGAGAGAGAAAGGAGATAAAGAGAGAGAGAATGAGAGAAAAAAGGGGAAGAAAGAGAAAGAGGAGAAAGAGAGAATGAGAATGATAAAGGGGAGAAAGAGAGAGGATGAGAGCAAGAAGAAAGGGAGAAAGAGAGACAATGAGAGCGAGAGAAAGAAAGAGAATGAGAGAGAAAAATGGGGAAAAGAGATAAAATGAGAGAGAGAGAGAGAGAGTAGGAGAAAGAAAGAGGATGAGAGACAGAAAGGGGGAGAAATAGAGAGATGAGAGTAATTTAGTGTTCATATAAAAGTATCGATATTTATCAAGTGGCATTTTCTCTTGTATCTCTCTCCCCTCTCCCCCTCTCTCTCTCTTTGTCTCTCTATCCCTATCCCTCTCTCTCCTTCTCACTATCTATTTTCTTCTTTCTCTCTCTCTCTCTCTCTCTCTCTCTCTCGCTCGCTCTTTCCCTTTCAAGATTTGGACACCTAAGTTTTATTTCTTTTCTTATTCTCAGCAACACTTACTCTCCTTTATAATCCTCCTTTCTCTGCTGCTACTGCTGCTGCTTGTCCCTCTTTCTTCTATTTCCCAAAACTTGTCAAATGCCTTACTCGCTTTTTTCCCGCTTCTATTAGATTCACTGGGATTTGTTACTTAAATTCTGCAAGTTTTTTTTTTCTCTCATTCCAAAATATCAGCTACTTTTTTTTTCTAATCAGTTTCTTTGTAGTTCTTCTTCTCTTCTGATCGTCCTAATTTGTTACATGTTCTCTCTATGGTATTCATCACTCGAACCAAATGTCTGATACTTTTCAACTGTGATCGAACAGTCTATCATTCACTGCCATATTGGGGTGGGGGGGGGTAGCCATGACAAACACCTTTTTCCTTTCTAATCTTCCATTTCGTTCCCTCAATACTTGACGTCTCTGAAAAGTATCTTTCGTTATTTCTTCAACGCCTTCACATTTTTGTGTCACGCTTGCCGTCGTCTGTTACTATACTCTTCACGGGTGACTGAATTTCTACACCTGTTTAATATTGACGTCCCCGATGACGTACTCACGTGGATATGCGTAAATGCAGGTTTGTATGCCAATGTATTCGTACATCTGTAATTGTGCGTGTCTATATGCATGTACATGGGTATGTGGCGTGTGTGTGTGTGTGTGTGTGTGTGTGTAAAGAGAAAGTAATGGAAATCAGTTTACTGTTTCAATAGAAATAATTTAAATCAAAAACTTAAACCTAATGGAAAACAGGGTGTAATAATTTTGAGGAAGAGTTGGGGGGGTGCTAATGTTTTCCTGACTTTTTGATTGGCCGCTTCTTGAACTTAGATGTCAACGAAACAACCAATCCATGACAAGCAAACACTGACCTCAGAGTGACTTTGTTGTCTCGAGGATCAGTAAATGTCCTTCACAAAAAAACTTTGAAAACCGCATTCCTTTGTTATGACGTCCTTTAGCATCCAAACACTCACAACACGACTCTTTCTTTTCTGACTATCCCTGCTTCTTTTTACTCTCTCTTTCTCTCTCTTTATATATATATATATATGTGTGTGTGTGTGTATGTATATATATATATATATATATATATATATATATATATATATATATATATATATATATATATATATATATATATCTGCCTCTCCTTAAACATTTTCCACTTACTATCCTTCCTCCTCCTACCACTTTCCACCATTCGTTTTTTCTTTTCATTTTGAATTTTTACCTAATTTTGCCCATTTCCCTTTCCTTCTCCTCCCTCCCCCTCTCTCCCTCTCTCTCTCCCTCTCTCCTCTCTCTCTCTCTCTCTCTCTCTCTCTCTCTCTCTCTCTCCTCTATCTCTCCTCTCTCTCCTCCTCTCTCTCTCCTCCTTTCCCTCTCCTCTCTCTCTCTCTCCTCTCTCTCTCCTCTCTCTCTCTCTCTCTCTCTCTAACTACCTACTCATCCTTTATTCGTTTTCTACTCATCCTTTATTTTCTTTTTCTTCCTTCTTTTCCAATCTTTGAATTTTGAAATTATCCCCCCTCTCTCTTTATTTCCTATTATCTCTTTATCAACGGGTCTATCTCCTTCTATCTTCCTTTCAATTTCTATTTCACTACCCCTTTATCAGCGAACTTCTCTCTCACTCCCGAACTGACCTCTTCCCTCTCCTTCTTTTTCTACTTCACTTTATATAGACTTCTGTTCCTTTATCTCGTTTACCGCTTTCTATCTTTCTCTCTTCTCTCTCTCTCTCTCTCTCTCTCTCTCTTCCTCTCAAATTGCCCTTTTCCTTTTTCTTCTTCTTTTATTTCTATGCTACTAACCCTTTATCAACAAGCCTCTTGTCTTTTCTAAAATACTAACAGCAGATCACTCTCTTTCTACTCTCCTTCTCTCGACCTATCAGTTAGATTGTTTTATTTCTCTATGAATGAAACTCTCTCTCTCTCTCCCTCTCTGTATATCTCTCTCTGTATCTCTCTCTCTCTCTCTCTCTCTCTCTTCTACTTCAAAAATCTCCCACGTCCACTGTTATGCAGACGTCAAATGACTTCGACTCTTTCCAATGATACAATGAAGAAGATGGCAGAGAACAGGACTTTATTTCTCTCTGTTATTCCCTTCTTTATTTCTCCTTCTCTTTATTTATTTATTTATTTCCCTATAAGAACATTTACTAATCTTAGCCTGGCAAAACGTTACAATTTTCCATGTGGAGAATGCTTATCTTGAAAATTCGCCTTCAAGATCGTAGATTTTACCTCGGTGTGACCACAGTGCATACAGGTCCCACTTTATAATACTCACTTTGTAAATATCTATCTATCTCTCTCTCACTCGCCACACTCCTCACCCTTTCTTGCTGCTCCTCATACTTCAACCCTTCCTCCTCTCATCTCTTTTTTTCAATTTTATTCGATTTTCACAATATACAACCGGCTTTTTCTGACTTTCCTTTTCTTATGAATCAAAGCCAAATTTTGTTTCAACTCCACTATCAACAAATTCCCCAAAGGTTCTTTTTCTTTTCAAGAGTTGTTTTCTAGTCCGTGAACTGCTTCTTTCGCTAAGTGAAAAACTACCAAAAGCTCAGAACACTACTGGAATCGCTGATATCTTTGTATTTCACGTTCAATGTATTTTGTTAATCAATATAATCGATACAGACTTTATTTTTGTTATTAATATGCACGAAGGAAAACTCTGAATCCAAACCACCTGCTGCCTTGTAGGTTTTTCCACCTTAACTTCTGAGAGAAAGAACGGGGTAACCTCAACATTCCCCGGTGCAAAAGGAACCGGCAAGCCATTGCACTATTTTGGCCTTGAATGTCACTATAACCTTACAACTATGAGATGTAGAGGAGTGGTGACCACCAGTGGCTGGGGTGCAAAATGCACTAACAGTGAATAAAATGAATTAATAATAAACGATTGTAGGTTATCATTATCATAGAAACGTACATGTGTGTGCATATATATATATATATATATATATATATAGATAGATAGATAGATAGATAGATAGATAGATAGATAGATAGACAGAAACAGACTGAGATAGATAGACAGATAGATAGATAGAAACAAACTAAGATAGATAGATAGATAGATAGATAGATAGATAGATAGATAGAAACAGAGATGAGATAGATGATAGAGATAGATAGATAGATAGATAGATGAATAGATAGATAGATAGATAGAAACAAACTAAGATAGATAGATAGATAGATAGATAGATAGATAGATAGAAATAAATAGATAAGATAGATAGATAGATAGATGATAGATAGATAGATAGAAACAGACTGAGATAGATAGATAGATAGATAGATAGATAGATAGATAGATAGATAGATAGATAGAAACAAACTAAGATAGATAGATAGATAGATAGATAGATAGATAGATAGATAGATAGATAGATAGGAACAGACTAATATAGATAGATAGATAGATAGATAGATAGATAGATAGATAGATAGATAGATAGATAGATAGATAGATAGATAGATTCGGGAAATTTTAACTTAATTATTAGCAAATTTAAAAAAATATAATTATATATATGTGCACTTGTCCGTGTTTGTTTAAGTGTGTGGACAGATAGAGGAAATACACACATACACACACACACACACACACACACACACACACACACATATATATATATATATATATATATATATATATATATATAACGAATTGTCAAATGAGCTTTTGGTGGCCCATCTAATGTATCAGTTTGACATTCCTACATAATACAAGAAGGTTTATTTATTTATTTCTATGTGGCTTTTTAGTTAAAAAAAAAGTAAATGTTCAACGTTGTTTGGTGTTGACAGAAAAGCCTTCCTCTATGCGTATCCCTGAGATTAAAAGCAACTAAAAATGATTATTAATTTTAATATTAAGAACGTATTTTGTTCCCGTGACCATTGTAAAAATTTCCACTTCAAAAATACGCGTGTGCGTTTGTACAAGAAAACAGGTTGTTTATATCCAGAGCCTTAGCTACACGCTGACCCAAATTCGAGAAAAAATGTCGTCGCTCCGGGGAATCGAGACAGAGAATGTTCATAGCCTCAGAAGGACATGTCATTAAAAAAAAAAAAATCTAGGGAAACCGGTTTGAAAAATAGACGCGTCCAACACTGTGACCTCGACTGAAGGCCAAGATAATGTCACAACTGATGTTATTATCAAAGTGTTGGTAATAAAAATTACTGTACTATTCGTGGGTACACGTTTATACATACGTGTGTACGTAATGATCTATACATTATAAATTCTAAAACATTAGCTGTCAAGTGGGTAAATTGGCTCATTTGGTAAAAATGTTTGCGTTTATTAGAACCAATCTGACAAAAAATATATTGCGTAATAATTATCTTAGAACACCTAGTATGGCACAAGATTTAATAAGATCAGTTTGCAATGGGTTTGATCCTCATTAGGGGATTACTCTTCTGGTTTTGTGCTAGGCTATTCTCAACATAACTTTGTAAACTTTATTAGAACGTGCATCGGTTTGCGATGAGTATCAAGATGACGCATCAGGTCATTTCGCTAATGTTGTTTCGATCAATGACAACATCAAATGGAAGGACAAGGAAAAGAGACTCACATGGATTATAGAACAGACCAAGATAAGAAAGAAAAATGTTTGCGCAATATATAGTAAGAAGAAAGGATAACAGAAGGAGCAAAAGGATGCTTTTTTGGTACCTTATGGATATCAAATGAAGCAGGAAAAGTGGTAAATAGATGAATTCACTGTTAAGACATGATATA